TTTTCTGATAAGATTTATTCCTCTGTATAAAAACATTTTTCTTACATTTARTACACATTCGAGACAATGCTCTAAACTAAAATTATGTAACATTGATTCATATAATATTAATAGTTATAATAACAATAATAATTGATTAAAACTTAATGCACATACGACCACATTTCCTTTACTATTTTATATTTCATTATTTCASTTTCAAATCTTTACTCCACATTCCATCTAGTTTGGAGTTTAACATTTCTTTACATTAGTGCTTCTAAGACCTTAACATTTCTTTATCATCATATGAATCCATGGTTAAAGGTATTGACAAGGTCAAGTAAAATTGTTTTCTTTTGTTTAATTGTTAATTCTAAACAGTGCAAGCATTTTAACTTTTAAAATGCTGACTATCACAAAAAAAAATAGAGATTTTCGGAAACAAAAAAAACTATTCGAGGAAAATACACTTTCGCTTTTTATTATGGTGTGCTTATAGTATTCCCCCCTAATTCAAACAAGTGGTTTTGAAAAATTATTATCGTTTCTGTAACCAACCAGAGCTTATTCCAATAATTCTTGGAAAATAAGGCAGTTTTGTTTTCCAGTGTGACATATGGGATCTATCCTCTTATCACATGRCCATAAAACAGGTGCATGTGATTGATAGCATCATSCACTACAACTACCAGGATCCTTTGYGTACCTCATATTGTTCCTTACTTAGCACTCATTTTAATTGGCAAGGCAATGAATTTAAAATCAAATAAAAAATTCGCAAAACATCCTAGTAGTAGCAGTAGTAGTATGGCTCCATCTTGTAGAGGGACTCCTATATGCATCAGGCATGTTTCCACGGAGGTAAGATTCCCCTGGTGCAAGAGATTATTCTTATGTTCACCTCATTTGCAACCAAAAAAGAAAACAGTTCCATATACTAGAACTTAAAACTTGTTATCCTTACTCTGTACATTATATATTTTGAGCACAATAATTCAAAAAATAATTATCTACAAACTCGGATTGATTCGGTAGTGAATTTAGTCTCCTACGCAGCCGCTATTAGTTTCATCACGCAACGCTTACTCCRCTAACAATAATAGTGGCTGCGTAGGAGACTATAGTGAATTCTAAGCTCGCACAGTGCGCATCTTAGAGATAAATTCAGTCTTGGTCAACCAGATCCCTCTCGGCCAAACCCTGACTGCTGATTGAGGAACGGACTGGGAGAATTGCGGATCAAGATGCCAACAATAAAACTAAATTAGTTACACTCCCAGGTCCTCTCTCAAKGTGAGGTCGATAGAGGTCTGTGTAAGCCAGACTGAGATGATTTATAKGTTCGCTAAGATTCTTGATTCTTAATTTTAGAGATTGATTCTCAAACATGTCTTCTAGACTTAAATTTAAAGACTAACAATGGTTTCTACCAATTTTTTTTTTTTGTAAGGAGAATGAATTGGCTCTTCTAGCACGTGGTCTACCATGTGACAAGGTCACGTGAGTTATGTTAAATTAAAAAGGTAACTACTAAAATATTTCGATGAATATGATTAATAAAATTCCCCACCAGTGAAGGTTGGGGGGGAAAATGTCTTAAAATAAAAAGCTGAAAGAGCTTTGCGGTTAAAAACACACAATTCATCGTCTAAAAAGTCCACTTAAAATTATTATTAAAAAAACCTAGTAAACAATCTGTTTGGTTTTACCTAATAAAATGCTTTGAGGGAAGTGAAGGACTGGAATYCTGTTTAAAAAAATCTTGGGATAAATAACTGCTTGCACCGAAGCTGAAAGCGTGCCCACGAGCTTGGAGGTCAGCAGTCTTCTCCATTCYATTCATTTATTCGTTTCGGATGTAAAGGGTTACTATGGAAACCCCCAGAGTAAGGGCCAGCCTCAGCTATCTGTCATAATTATTCAWCGTTTCATTAGTTCTTCACAAATAATCACGTGGATTTTGCTGTAGAGCCGCTGGACGATCTTCTAAAAGCTCCATTGTTGATTTCATTCTCTGAAGAACTTGATTTTCTTGGCCCGTCGGGGGATCCAAGGGGGAGCGATTCAAGAGACGAAGCCGACATGGCTTTGACCTGCGCAATAACGATTTGAGCTTTAAGAGCGTCTTCTTCAAGTTCACGCATGCGCTCTTTCCGCAAAAGAGCTCTCTTTTCGGCTTCTATTGCACGTTTTTCGGATGCTGAGAGAGYACGTTTARCGTTTGTCGTGGTTTTTGAATCTGAAGAGTCGGAATCCGACTTATCATTGGCTTGTCGTTGTTGGATTTTTTCTTTGACTCGTTGCACGGCCTCCTCGGCCTCTAATCGTTGAGATTGTTCTGGAGAGACAGGGCCTGGGAAAGAACGAAAAAAGGATTGTGAATACATCTTCATTTTTGGTACGGAGCGATAATTAAAGTGATCAGTAAGGTAGAAAAACTGACCACTGACTGATAATAATAATGATAATACCAGTAAACTTTATTAATGTCTCAGGACTTCTAGCTCTGCACAAGTGCACAAGTGCTTTACTAATCGGGGAGACCCAACATAAATTATAAAGAATAAAGTATAAAAGGCAAACCTACCAGTAGAAGCGACTCGGCTACTTTGACTCTGTCATGATAAAAGAAAACAAAGTTAAACGAAAGTAATACAAAAACCAGACAACATCATGCCCATCCCTTGATCCGTCTTTATTGTTCCCACTCATCAAATTCAAATTCTTCAAGTATTGACGAGAGAGCCCAGCGCCAAATATAAACCCGTATTGGCAGTATATGTTATACAAACTGCATCCAAATAACGGTAATAMACAATAATGATTTTGAAGGTTCTAATGAACCAGTCACTCTAAACTCACTAAATCTCAMTAAAATCAAGACTTCTAACCCATAGTTTGGAAGCTATGGGTTAGAATGTTTAAAAGATTATTGACAACCCACCATTACGTGTACAAACCTCAAAAAGAAATACAAATATTCCTAAAATTTCTATTTATAGGTAATGCCCCCCAGTGTGCTTGAGAAATCAATCAAAACTGACACATTCTTGAGCGATTAATTGGTTGTAACGACTCGGTATCAAATATTCACTTACGTCACTGTTTAGCAATGYTATTTATCAGTCACAAGATCACGAGACATTTTTTGTGCTTACTTTGTGGTTTTCTTCGTCGAGTCGTTTTGTTTCCTCAAGCCGTTTTCTTAAAGCTTCCTAAAAATCAAAACAAGAGGACGTGAATAAAATYGTACACATTTAGACCACATAGGGTGCGTACAATTACGTTGATAGTATCGTAATTAGCTTAAAAACGTTGCAAGTGGATCTAGAGTACTGGGCTTTGATGGTTAACGGAGCGAAGAGGAAT